AGTTTCTCCTTGATCTTTTTTATTCTTAATAACTAATTTTCTATCCTTGATTTATTGAATAACATTTTCTTTTCTTTTTATAGGATTCACTTAATTTTACAATATTATTATAGGCTTTTCTTTTGCCTTTTGGCATTCTGTTCATATAGGTCTTGAATTTTTCTTCTTGTAATATATCCAGTCGTCAGCTTCTTATTCTTGTTAAAGGTGAGTAATAGTAAAAAAAGTATATTTTTTTTAACATATTAGTAATAAAAAATATTTTTAACATTTTATTTTTTTTACTTTTAAAACTAGCATGAATTTTTTAATAATATGCAAAAAATATTATGTAAGAAAATTTTTATTTTGAATTAAATTATTAATTGTTAATAATTACAATATCATCATCTAACTCTTTTAAATTTTCTTTTTCATATTCTTCAATCAATTTATCAATTTTTTCATATACCATATTATCTTCTAATCCATCTAATAAATTAAAGATAGAACATTTTTTGAATAAATAAAAGATAATTTGATTTGAAATAATATCCTAAGCTCTTTTAACCCAGCCATATATATTACTAATCTTTGCCTTTTTTAAATTACCTGCTGCAGTTATACCTGAATCACCTTTACTCATCCATTCATACCATTCATTTTGCAAATTATCTTTAAAAGGTTTATTAATAGATACATCTAATGGTTGACATACACTAATTAATCCTACAGAAATAAAAGCTAACTGAAAATTATATTACCTGAATTTAGTTTTAACACTTTCCTCTAAATGATTGTGAAAAAAATCATAAACTATCATGATAGGTTGTTTTGATAAATTTTTAGACATCCTAATTTTAAATAAAAAATCTATGTAATTTTTCATTAAATCTGAAGTCATCTATCCATTATCTTAGAACTAATAAATAACATCTTTTGAAATAACTTTACCTTGAGAAAATTGTTTACCCTTAAAAATACAAATTGAAGGATACTTTGTACTATCTTATAATTATATTAAATTTATTATATTAGTTTTGAATTAATAAATATAAAAATAAAAAAATAAAATTAATACCTACTGAATAAGTTAAAACTACAGTAAAATGATTTTTATCATTTCTGATAATATAAGTATATATTGTTTTATCTCCTTTATTATTAACTATCATATTTTTTACTATATCAAACTACACTGGTGTTTCATTTATATAAAAAATACTATTCAAATCAAAATTGTATTGTATTTTTAATCTTATAATAAATCGTTTAAATTCATCTAATTTTTGTTTTATATCTTCAGGCAATTTTTATGAAATTTTGATCCTTTTTCTTAATGATAAATTATATCTCTTTATAAAATAATTAATCCAAGAAAGATTTTCTTGAAACTCATATTCTCCTGCTAGATATAATATTTGAATTGAAGGTTCTTTGAGAATTTTAATTATTTGTAATCTTATTGAAATATAATTAACAGCAAGCCCTTTTTTTCTTTGTTCAATTATCTAACTATATAAAAGATTTTCTGTTTCAGAATAAAAGGCTTTTCTTCTTAGAGCTCCAGCATATTTTTTTTTATTTTTTTCTTTCCATTTATTACTTTGCTTTATTTATCTTCCTATTATTAGAACATTTAAATTAAAATGTTTTGATGTAGTATTTCTTTCATGTTTTTGAGTATACTTATCTACTATTAATTTTTCTTCAAATAAATATGATGTATACTGTCTTATATTTACTTTTTTTTATATCATTTTTTTTACAAATAACAGAAAAAAAGATTTATTTAAATAATCAATAAATATCATTTAATTCTAACTTAAAGTAGAAAATTTATGGAAATTTAATTTAATTACATAAAATTGTCTTTCATTTCAGTTTTTGGAATAAACAAAATTTTATATTTAAGGTGCTTAAATTTGAGAGTGTTTAATTTTAGTTTATACAAATATTATAGCAAAAGTTATAGAGGTGCTTAAATTTGGTAGATGCTTAAATTTGAGATTTTACGATATTAATTTATTAATTTATCATAAAATATAAATATATTAAATTTATAGTTTATGTTATTTATATAAATAAGTTATTAAATCTATTAATGAAAAATAAATTAAAAATAATCTTTTTATAATAAATTATAAAATTTGACTAAACAAGAAATAGAAAAAATTTAATTAAATGACAGAAAAATTGACTTTTTATAATAATAACTTTTTATGCTTTCTAAATAAAATCTATATTTTTCTATAAATACATATCTTTTATAAATGTATACTTTTTTCAATTTCAATAAAATACATTTTTAAAAAGTTAAGTATATATTTAAAAAAAATTAGAAGTTTAAAGATAAAAGGTTAAAACTTTAAATAGATCAAGTTAAATTAGATACTTTACCTAATCTAAAAAAGTATTAAGTTAGATTAGATTATAGTTATATCAAAAAAAATTAAAAAATTGTATTTTTAAAATATTTTAATATCTAGTTTTCAATAAAAAATGTATTATAGTTCATTAGATTTATCTTTATATAATAAATCAAATAATAGCTATTTCATTTTAAATGAATTAATATTAATGAATTATACTTTATTTTGTATTTATATATATGCATTATAAAATTTTTATATAGTAAAATTAAATGAGCTATATTTTAAAAATCAGTAATCTAAAATTAATAAAATATAGTTATTTGATTTATTTCTATAAGAGAATTCAAATAGTAATTATATCATCTCAAATAGACTAATATTGATAAATTATTAAATTTGAACTTTTTAGATTAATTTGTTAGGTCATTTGATCTATTGAGCCAAATTTAAAATTCTAAAAAAGATGAAATATAAGATAAAAAAAGTTATTTAAATTTATTTATAAATTTATTTTACTATTTGTTTAATTTAACATTTTTTTCTAAAAATAAATAATTAAATAAGAATTTTATCTTAAATAACTATTTGCAAATTTTAAATTTAATTATTTACTTTTTTTTAATAATATTATAATAAAATATTATTAAATTTAAGATCTAGTTTTATTATATCAAATTTATTAATTTTGAATAGTAGTTATTAATGATTTATATATATAATTTCTTAATAATTAAACTAAATATAATAAATCTAATTAATTAAATTTTAGATATAACAAATCTGATTTAAATTTAATTTTGAAATTTAATAATTTATAAAATGCCATTTTTATAATAAGATATAAATAAAAAGAATCTTTTTCATTTCAGTCAAATTATTTTTATGCACAATAGAAAAGAATCTTTTTTTTGGTAAAGTTATACAAAGATAATAAATTTAATAGCTATTATTTAATAAATCTAATTAATCAAATATTGATCTATTAATAAATAAGTTTCTTAATAAATTTATTATATATCAATTTATCTAATTATATTCAGTTAAACTTCAATAAACTATACTATTTTTAGTTTTACTTATATTTTATTTAGTAATATTTATGAAGATTGTTATTATGTATGATTATTTTTAAAACAAAAAATTTCTAATAAGTTCTTTACATGTGATACTATAATTGCTAATAAATTTACTATATATTTATCTATAATTAATTGTAGAGATTGGTAGAATTAATATTGAATTTAATAGTAAATTTATCATAAAAATCAAAAAAATTAATTTACATGATGCTGATTATGGTTCTGAAGTATAGAAAATCATATTAATAATTATGTCATTGATCATAAAATTTAATACTTTCAAAAATCTGAATTCAATACTTCTAATAAAGCTATTTAAAATAAAATAATCTATCATTATACAATTATCTAAAAATTTAGGTCAATTTTGATCAGCTGTGTGTAGCTAATAATCTGAAGCTTTAAATTTATTATTATAAGCAATACTTTTACTATTAGTTTCTCATCTGGAAATTTGTTCATCTTATTTATTGAAGGAATAAAAACTGATCTAAGCAAATTTTTAATTTGAAGAAGAAAGAGGTGAATATTATGCATTATGCATTTAAAATAGGGAGACATAAAATTTGTGAACTTACTGGAAAAAGATACTATAAAAAGCTTTTATTATGATAAAGGGAACCCAAAATTAGAATATTAATAGATGGATAGAAAGTAAAGAAAATAGTGGTAGTTTAGATAATAACATTAAGTAAGAGGAAAAAGAATTCCCATTATATGAAGCAGGCATTACTCCCTTTAATCCCTATTTCTCACCATTTTTTATTTACTTAGCTGGCTGGCTTCTTTCTTGCATATATTAAATCGATCAAATTATTATTCTTTTAGTATGTATATGTATACAACAAAGAAATTTAAATAAATTTTGGCAAAGATTTTTAAACAAGACAAAATTCTTTTTTTCCGGAAAGTCATATATGTAGCGTAGTTAGCATCTATTTCATCAGAAATTTTATTACGTTGCTTCATTTATTCACACAATTTGTATATGGTTAAAAATACTCTTTAAAGTAAAAAATTTTTTAGTAAAACTTTTAATAATTTCAGTTATCACTTTTCTCTGGCTTTTTGCGCATTTTTGAGCATTGTTATGACTGATGAATAAAAATGTAAATTTGCCAATTTATTATATATACAATATTAATCTTGCAAGCAGTGTTATCTTGGAACGTGTCCCACAGATTTTTAATGTCCCGTCCCGTCCCGTCTCATCTGTCCCGTCACATTATGTCACATAATGTCCCAAAAAATGGTTCTATTTAATCGTTTATCATAGTAAAATTTGTCCCAAAAATGTTCCGGACATAAAAAATTGAAAATGTGTCCTGGGACTGTCCCGTCCCATATTCCTGTCCCTGTCCCATGACAACACTTGCAAGTGGGCATTACAGAAATATATAATTAATAAAGGCTACGATCATGTATTCTCTCATAACATGCAATCTTCTTATTCCATGCGGCATCCAGTACAAATTTGGGATCCGTTGTAACATAAGTGTTTGATGTAAGATAACAACATGATTAACTTGCCTTGAGACGGTCGAATATTGGACATTCAATGTCCAACCTAAAATTTTGAAGTTTCTTCGTAACATTCGTCTACACCAGTCTAAATATACTAATCATCACTATATCGTATTATTGTACTATAAGTCTATAAACATAACTCTTACCACCATTTCTCCCAAAAATGGGGATGCCAAGCAGGGATATTTGGATTTTCGTAAATATCGTAATAAAGAAACGAAATGTTCCTTCTTGAACGAAGAGGGGCATGGTAATGGTCCAGGAATTACGAATTGTTGCCCGGGTCTCAACATTTTTTACAAGTATGGGCCCGTACTTCGCCAAAAAGGAAAGGAGTTACGCCTAGAAAGTTACCGTTCGGTGGGCTGAAAAAAACAAATATATATTAGAATGACTTCGAATAAACATTTTTCACTATAGTTTTTCTACCCTATTTACCCATAGTTTCATCATGAAACGAACCGGCGCAACACTAACTGATAATGAAAAGTCAATGGTAATCTCCGTTTACAACTATTTTTCGGGGGGCTAACTTTAAAACGAAGAACCATCAGAAGGCCACACTACGCAAGCGGGTTGCTGAGACTGGAACAAGCGCGGTGACAATACTTTTACGCCGCATAAAACTCTCGGTCGACCTAAATCGCAAACTCGATGAAAACATTTCGGAACTTTTGCGTACATGATGTTGCTTTTTCTGAAAGCCAGAACTTTTGGAACTGGTTAAAATAAACAAAGAAAAGAACATGAAGTTAATTTCACTATTGAAGGCGTTTGGTCAGTTGTAAAGGTGAAGTTGCACACACCCAAACCTTTTATCCGGTTAGAATCACTCTTCTAAATGCATTTAAAGAAAAATTTTCTTCAAAAGGCATTGTAGGACTTTGGATAAGAGCGCTTAAAAATGCTAAAGAATATTTTGAGTCCGATGAGAATATACAATTAATAGATGAAGAATTTGACGTTTATTATAGTACTGATAAAGTTCACGTTATATGACGCGAATTTTTATATCATATCTTTCCCAAATATTCACAGTAAAATTTTTTTTATCGATACAATATCTGAGGTACGAATCTTTTTGCACCGGCCCATAATAGATTAAAAATGGATTATTTGCAAATATTTTAGATGAATCCTTCTATGGCAAATCAGTTGTTAAACTTATTTGAATCGACGCATAAAGCTAAAACAGAGCAAGTTAAATCATTCCATTTTAAGTCATAAATTATAAGATTAATCTTTATTTTATGTGGCTAAATCTTTTGTTCTCATATAATATAGCCATGATGTTCAATTTGACCGATAGAAATACCTTTAATAATAGTAGACGCCCTCCAAAATGCAACTAATGTAGGACGAAGAAATGACAAATGTTGGTTTAACTGCAAACAACCCGGACATTTCGCGAGAGACTGTAGAGAACCACTCGCAAGTAAAAAAAGTCAAAATACACGCGTCTTCAAAGAAAAGAAACCAAGAAGAAAACAACGTATTTAATCCATCCTTTAATAAACATTGCCAAGCACTCATCAAGTGTGCCAAGGAATACGTTAAAGCTGAACTCTCCATTCCGGGTACTTGAGACATCGAAGACATACAATAAGCAATAAGGCCAGATCAGTTCAAAACTAAAATACGATCTGTCGCTTGCAGAGTCTACAACAAAGTAAGATCAATTGTCCTCTTGTTTTTTCTTTTACCTTTATTTTTAGACAAAAATTTTACATCAAGAGCTTAATTACGATTTTTATTGGGCTGCTAATGAAATCTCAAAAATTCTTTCAAAAGTTAAGGGAGTAACATATGATGATGATGACCTTGAAGGGTATGACCTTGGAGAGTGTGATAACTCTATGGAAGGTCTGTACACCAAAAAGTGTATAACTATCAATTCTAACATTATTTGATCAACAAATTAGTCGATAATAAATAAGTCTATGGTGTTTATACGTCATCACCCATGTACAAATATTATATTTAACTTTTATTCATTTTTACATAGCCGGCCAGCCCTTTCTCATGCATTACTTTACGAAAAATATAATAAAGTGTGATGTGTTTTATGTGTGTATGCATAAATAAATTTTATTATCAATAAAAATGGCTAATCCGCTTAATTTAGCTGATGCTCTATTTGTTAACAGACTTTGGTATTACAATACTATGGAAACACGTCAAAATAGAATATCCCACGGTAAAAAGTTTTTACATATTTGCAAAGACAAAAACCGTTTCACGGAAATGTAAGAAATTTAATGGTTTACGCAGATGAAAAACTTTGTTCAAATGTGTTATATTTTGATCTCTTTGATTATGTTTATTTCAATGACAGCGTTGTTAGAAAGATCGTATGCGTATCCTAATTTACAACTTCTTGAACTTGGAGTGGTACAAGCAAATTTTGAGAAGCTACGGTGCGTATTATCGCACGTACATGCCGAAATCTTAGATATTTTGATCATGCCATAAATTAGATCACCTTTGTATACATGACTTTGGGTATGTTACTGATTCGAGTGTTTGTGCTATTGCACGTTTTTGTCATAGACTCAATTCGGCTAATGTATGATTAGAGATTCAGCTATCAGGGAAATTGCTCGTTCATGACTTGATCTGAAATACCTTCGCTTGGAGAACTGTAGTGCATTAGCAGTAATAGAAAAACTGGATCGAAATATCGAAGTAGAATGGTTTTATACAAAATAAAATAATTTTGATCTGTTTTGTCTAGTAAAAGTGATCGACATAAATTTCTTGGCGACGTAAATCACGAGACGATCTACCAATCAGATTATTTTAATGCCAAGAGTCCAAACCACATGAAACTAAAAAGGTGGCAAAAGAACCTTCTGGGTAGAAATAGAAAGGAAGATATAATTCGAATTTTACCGGTGAAGATTGTAATAAAAAATTTCTAAATCTATCTCGAGCGTACTATGTAAGTGTATAATTGCGTGCTTTGCTGAAGGTTCCTACATCTGCTTCTGACCTTGTTTTATTAGACGACCCAAGGAAGCGAGGTGCAGGGAATCAAATCGGTTGAAGGGTAGATTACAAGGTATTTGGCAAGCTTACGTAAAGAAGCGGCAGAACAATTAGTAATAGACAAATCGCGTGACTAAGAAAGTTGGGTTGGAACTAGCAAAAAACCCAAAAATGTAGTAAAAATAGAAATAAACGGCAGAAAAAATAATAATTTTTTATTAATTACATCCAAAATTAATAAATCTATGAATTTTTATATATACTCTAAATCTCCGTTTCCTCCATAATAAAGTTTTCGAATAGAAAACTAGCATGATTTTTTATTAAATAAGTAATGTTTGTTATCATCATGTCTAATTTATTTTAGGTTACATATTATTTTTGATTGCCTATGACAATCACCCTGATTAATTGGCAAATCGGCAATTAAGTTGATGATATCGATATTCAAAAAAAATCTTTTTTTATAATTTTACAAATTAAAGATAATAGCATAAAAAACTAATATTATTTAATTAACTTTTTTTTTTTTTAATAATAATGAAGATAAAAAAAGTGAAACAAATTAATCTTTTTATTTATTGATTGGTATTAAAAAATATATAAATTCTTATTGAATTTATATATATATATTCCAATAATTTTATCTGGGATCTATTAATTGTTGATTCAAACAAAATAAAATCATTTACCATAATAGCATCATATCTATCTATATTACAATTATAATAATATCAACCCCTTAAATTATTTTATTATCCATTCGGTTTTATAGCTTGCTTTAAATAAATGCTAGTTATTAAAAATAAATTATATATGCCTATGTATAAATGCGCTTTATGAAAAAAAACAAATATGATGAAAAAGATGATAAATAATACAAATGTAATTTTTTTAATGTGAAATATATATTTTTTTTCTTTCCAAATAAATAACGAGAATATTATTTTGCTAAAAGAAATCTGAGAAAAAAAAAGAAAACTATTTGTTATCGATATTTAAATTTCTCCAGATTGATGTGAAAAAAAAAAAAAAAAAAAACACAAAGTCCTTCTATTTCCGTTTTTACAAAAATTTTCTTAGTTTTGAATACGCGTATAAATGCCAAAAATATCATCATCGAATAAGATTAATGATCTTTTCTTGCCACTATAAAAAATCGATGACTCTGAACTGAAAGAAAACCCTCTTTTTGAATCTTATGATGAAGATTAACAAGTTGTTCTGAATATTTTTCTACTGTGAAATCTTCCACTTGCCATGGAATTGCTTTCAAATAATAAACTATAGCTCCTACATCATAAAATTTCGTCTCTATAAATGCTTCTTGTTTTTCTAGAATAGTGAAACCTACATTTCTTAATTCACTACAAGCATGTTCCATATGCCATTCTCTATAACCAAGATCGGGAGCTCCTAAAAGTTTATTTAATTCAATATTATCTTTTTCGCCAACTTGCTGTGTAACAAATAATCCTCCTAACTTGAGGAGACGATGAACTTCATAAGCAATATAAGGTTCATGACGATTAATTATAAGATCAAATCGAGCATCATCAAGGGGAAGTCGTACATCATTATCAGTAATAGCTAAAAAGAAAAAAAATTCATTAATATTGTAAATGAAAAAATAGCAAATTCACAACTTTTTTTTTGTTGAAAAGTGCGCGCAAGATAATTATATAAGCAGAATATAAAATCTATACCTGTGACGGTCACTCCCAAATGTCTTAATCGTTGCCTTGCAATATCAATGTTGGGAGCCCAACCTTCTGTCGCACAGGTATCTGGTGGCAATGGACTTAAAGAAGCGAGGAACTCACCACCACCAGTACCCATATCTAAAAGACCCTTACTATTTGGTAACAAGGCTTTCACGGTTGCTTCATAATTCCAAGGTAATAAATTTAACTTTTCCTCCATGCGTCCTTTAAGATAAGAAAAATCCCAGCCTGTGAAAGGTTTATTAAACTCTGCAACTAGATGACGAAGCAACACGTCAGGGTGGTTATGTTCTTCTTCAGGTAAAGAGTTTACTGTCATTGAAGTTGGATACACTAAAAAGTCGTTCATGTGTGATAATTTATATTCGGAAGCTTAAATAGAATTATCCAAAACAAGATATAGTTAACGTTAAAAGTTTACCAGTTTTTGTAAAATAAGCCTTGAAAATTGAAGTCATGGGAAAAAATCATAACCCCCGTTTCCAAATTAAGTTAGTACAAAGGTTGAGCTGCTGTTACACGCAAGGGTAAGTATTAGTGGGAATTTGTGAAACTCTTTTTACAGACGAAATTATCATATGATCCATCCAAGAAGAAAGTTGGCGTAATTCAAATTGAAATTTTCCTATTTAATGCGTATATTTATTTGTATACAAATATATTAATATTATACTTGTAAATATATGTTATTATTGGTTGTGATATATAGCTTAATTTTAATGAAAATAGTATATAATACAGAACTATAACCATTGCAGTTACCCTCGATTTCTGTTATTTCGGCGAACAAAGATCCTTTCTTTAAATATGTTTAATATTAAGAAAACATTCTTATAAAATTTAATTATCAAATTTAAGAACTTATTTGTTTAAATTTTTAAAAATTCATAATGATATTATTTTATTATTAATAAAATTCATAATTTTTAACAATAATAAATTTTATAATATTATTTATTAGAAAATTACTACTGGTGTTCAGCACCGGTATCACGTGATTTCTTATAAAATAATTTGTCACCACATTTCATTTTTACTATATTTTGGGGACGAATTTTTTTCGAGTGTAAAATCATATTCGTCATATTCCAAAATTTATAATTCTGCTATAATGCTTTTTTAGAATGTTAGGCAACATTACACAAATCCAAAAGACAATTTTGATTTTGGCAAAATTCAAATAGGATTACACAAACATCTAAAAATGGAAATTCGTAACACCAGTGCTAACTATCAGCGATGATAAATAGTAAACTTCTTTTCATTTAATTTGTTTTTAATTTTTTATTTTTTAGAACTAGTATTTTTTGAACCTTAGGAATACAACTAATAAATTAATTCTCTTTTTCTTGAAATGAGTGAACTTCTTTAAAAATGTTTACTAATATTCTTTCTTTTTTAGAATGTCTTTCTGGATTTTAGGAATTAACTAGTAAATTAATTCCTTTTTTTTGAATTAGTAGGCTTCTTTGAAAACATTTTATTAATATATTTTTTTTCTTTTTTTTTAAGATCAGCATTCTTTAGATTTTAGAAACTAATTGATAAGTTAATTCTCTTTTTTTTTTAGAATAAGTAAACTTTTTTGAGAATATTTACTAAAATTTTTTTATTTCATTTATAAAATTAGTTTCTTTGGATTTTAGATTCTTAGGATCAATACTGATAAACAATTTCTTTTTGGTAGATTAGATAACTTCTTCAAGAACATTTATTAATATTTTTTATTTCTCTTTTTTTTTAGAATTGGCTTTTCTTTAAAGTAATATTTTCTTTAAATCTTTATTGTATCAAAAAAAATTTGTTATAAATAAATTCATTATAAAAGAGATTATTTAT